GTTCGCAAACAAAACATAACGAATCATTGAATTTTATGCTGATATATCAAAATTGGAAAATAATTGTTAATGTTAGATAGCGCCATCATAAACAAGGAAATGTAATTAAGCACCCCAAGTTTTACCGTTGCTAAATCAATGACAAAAAAAAAGTAGAAAGTTTTTCTAACTTAATTTTACTTATACCATTTTAAAACCTTCATTTTTTACAGTTTTAGCCAAATTGTTAGATTACATCTTTTGGGGGAAAATTAAACAATTAAGTATGTGTTAACGTTTTTAGAATGCTGACGTACGGATGAACACTAGGTTTTAATAATCTGTTTTTATTTATTTTTGATTTCTCATTAGGAACAACTAGCTATCCACAGTAGATGTTTAACATGTAAAGACGTTGTGTGAGCTTCAGTGCCCATACATGACCAAAGTTTTCCTGTCTTTCACACGTGAGGATTACGAGAAGAGGTTTGATCTCGTAGACAGTGTAACCCTACCTCCGCCTGGGCCCTATTTGCGAAGATACGTCTCTTATTAAACTAATGATGTTTCAAACGAGTACATCAGCCTTGAGACAGGTCTAGATTTCTTCCATGGATGACGTTTCGATCAGAATGTGAAACTAGAGGCGATTATACAAATTTTGAAAATAATTGTTTCAAATGCATGTATGAAATCATTTGGATTTTTCAAATGTTAAATGTGTCAATTAGAATGTGCAACGAAGTAGTAATATATACAATCAAAATTATGGTGTCTGAATAAAAAAACGACTTCTCGGTACAAGTTATCTGAATATGATTAAGAGGGACTGTTTGATCGCGAATGTCACATTAAGAATAAAATATTGATATTTGTAAAGTTTATATATGATAATTTCACCCGAAAAGAGGGTCATCTAGATCGTACAACGGATAAGATTTGGATAATAAATTAAGCATAAAGACTAATCTTTAAACCGATATGTATAAACTAAAATGAGAGTCTTACAACAGACCATCTAAATATTTATAACGATGGTTTTTGAATGATAATTAGATTTGTTTGTTTGAAGTTAAACACAAAGCTACACGATGGGTTATCTGTGCTCTGCCCACCACGGGTATCGAAACCTGGTTTCTAGCGTTGTAAGTCCGAAGACATACCGTCGTGCCACTGGGGGCTGAGAATGAGAAGAAAATGAAAAATCAATTAAATTTCAAAAGTGTTATTCGCATTTCTAGAGCGGTAATTTGAAAAGCAAGAATCTAAGACTTCAGAGACTTAGATTGGGTGTAATGGTAAGTCTAATGCCTGGGAAGAGAAATGAGAAGTTCTGCCTATAACTACTAACACTGTTTTATTAGTTCTATATCGCAGTATAGAAATAAACGGGACTTTATTCATTATTTTTTATTTAGAGACGAAAAGGAATGCAGAACATTATAATTCGTAAAGGATCTAAATAAAGATACATCCAGTTTCTCTGAATCTTAGTCACAACTTTTCTTTTTCTACTTTGATCCAGCCTAATTTATGCTATGTAAGACATAAAACAAGCCGAAGAAGTTTTATTGGTCCAAGAAAAATAAATAAATTGTATTCCACTAGCCGAGAGGACCTCACCAGTTAGAAAACAGCATCTTGTATTACAAAACGTAATATGTCATGTAAGCTCGTGACAAACTATGATAAAAAAAGGACCCAGGGAAAGTCTATGGGTAAATCACTTTTCTAAATAGAGATTATACATACATTCAAGTACCCCCCCCCCCAAAAAAAACTTCTATTATTCACACTAATTAAGTGAAACAAATCTTGTAAATCAAATCTTCCGATCAATAAAGAGCAACTGTTGAGTGACGCTTTGACTTTTTACTTACTTATTCACAAAATGTGATGAAAATTACATGTTTGCAGCGCACCTGTTGGCGAAGGTTCGTGTGTATGAGACTGATGTTTTCTTCGATAAATATAATCACGACAATTCTCTCTCTCTCTCTATATATATATGTAACATAACTTCAGCAACATATCACACGTCTTTGAAATGAGTTAAATTTTATTTTCTCTTACTCAGCTGTTATTCAATACATTGATTTAAATTAGTTGTTTTTATACGACGTGGCTGACACAGTGCCAGCAGAAACAACATACACGTGCCCTTCGGTAACAATAGGCCTGCAACTTTGAGAACGATTCGTTTACATCGTTAACCAAATCTAATACGTATTTCAACAAGTATTAGGAAAAAGAAATATTGCTAACTAAAAAAAGCTATGTAGGCTGGCTAGTGAACTTGAAAAAAAGTTCCAAACAAGATAGGGATGGAAGAGACATATCACTTGATCAGCTAATGATTACATAGCAAATTAAGCCGTCTCGACTTTACATGAATAATAAAATCCTTACATTACTGGCTTTCCCACTTAATCTGTCAACTTTCATCATTATTCCTTCTCTTCAGTTGATTTTAGAATACTACTTTTATGTTTGTTTGTTTTTGAATTTCGCGCAAAGCTACACGAGGGCTATCTGCGCTAGCCGTCCCTAATTTAGCAGTGTAAGACTAGAGGGAAGGTAGCTAGTCATCACCACCCACCGCCAACTCTTGAGCTACTCTTTTAACAACGAATAATGGATTGGCCGTCACATTATAACGCCCCCACGGCTTAAAGGGCGAGCATGTTTGGTGGGACGGGGATTCGAACCCGCGACCCTCAGAATGCGAGTCGAGCGCCCTAATCACCTGGCCATGCCAGGCCTACTACTTTTATGACTATTTTACAATAGAGTAACATTTTACAATTGGAAATTCTGGTTCTATTTGTTTTGCCAGTGAGGAAGCCAGTAATGTAGGGATTATACTCTCCATGTAAAGTAGAGACGGCTTAGTCTGCTATGTGATCATTAGCCAGATCAAATGATATGTCCACTTCCATCCCTATCTTGTTTGGTTCCTTTTCTCAAGTTCAGTAACCAGCCCTACATAGCCTTTTTTATTTAGCGATAAATTTGTTTTCTTATACTTGTTTGTTTACTTTTTTATCAGATGGTTTACGTGGGTTACTAGGTTATAGAGAGTATTCTAAATCATTATAAATTTTGCATAGAATAATAATAACGCAGGTAGTCAAAGATCGTCAATGATGATAAAATTATGGTTACTGCTAGAACTAGGTAGGCGTTAGGCCTGTTGAAGAAAGATGATGATGAACGAAAATAATAAAATCTTAGTTTTGGCTATTCGCCGGTTTTCGACTTTGGGATGCTCTGGATAGCTGAAAAGCGACATATACATTAGAGATAGAGCGACTATGCCAGGTAGCTCTTCATATCTAGCTTCTGATGACCTGTAGAGAAGAAAATCCAGATGACTTTTGTATTGCTTTAATTCGTACGACCAGGCCATCCCT